GGCGCCCCCAGCCCGGCTCCCTCGCTCCCGCCCTCGGGCTGAGACCCTTTACCCCACTGCCCCGCCCTACGCCGGGGGACGGCTCCGGTGTGGGAAGTGGGACTGGTTGCCTCACTCCGCCGCAGCCTGGGGCTCCGAAACCTGCTCCTCCTGCCTCACACCTGCCCTCTTTTACGGGTCGGTTAATGCCCCATCAGCTGCCACAAACGATCGCACTGAAAAATGAAAACTCTAGTGTAGCGCGCCCCCAAACAGCCAGTCAAGTTCGGAGAGAAGAGGCGTGAAGCAGGGGTCAAGGGCCCTCGCCGGGAAAAGCGCTCGAGCAGCTCTGCAGCCGGTTCCCGGAGCCGCTCTTGAAAGGGGCGGGGGCGGGGGGAGGGGCTGACTTCTTCAGCTTGTGTCAGAGCTGAAGCCCCTCGACCGGATGGGGGCGGGGCGGATGGTGTTTATGGAGCCGCTGAGGCCACGTGTGTCGCTGGGATCTCTGCACAGCAGGTGGGAACTAAGGTCAGACAAGGGCCAGCTTGGTGAGAATGACGGTGGGGAAGATCCCATCAGGAGAAAAGCAGAAATATGAGGGTGGGAAGACCCCGTCCAGGCTGGGGGCTGCATATGGATGTCTTGGGGACCCCAAGTCATTACCACCTTAGGACCAGGGTTTGTCCCAATTCTGAGCAAAGATCACCAGTCAGGACCAAGTCCCTTGCCCTCTGGTGCCTCAGTTTCCACTTCTCTCCAGGGAGGGGTCGGAGCAAGACATCCAGACCCCTACCAGGCAGCCACCTGGGACTCCTTGCCTCTCTCTGTCCCCAGCAAGGGGAGGGAGAGGGTCCCGGGCTGGTCTACAGATGGCTGGTGTCCTCTGCAGTGGAACCTCGTGTGTGAGGATAGCTGGAAGGTCCCGCTGGAGCAGGCAAGCCACCTCCTGGGCCGGCTGTTGGGCTGTGTCGTCCTGGGCGCGGGCTGTGACCGGTGAGGTGCTGCCCCTCCCTGCTGCCCTGCAGCCCTCCCCAGGCCCAGCCTCCTGGCCATTGGGGTCAGGGTTAGGGTTAGGGTCTGGTGATGTGGCCTGCAGCCTCAGGGCATAGCCAGACCCTGTGCCACTGGGATGCAGGTGAGACCCCTGGGCTGTCCTGATCCATATCCATGTATGTCCCCCACTGCCCACCAGGTTTGGCCGCCGAGCTGTTTTTGTGGCCTCTCTCGTGCTGGCCACGGGCCTGGGGGCCATCGAAGCCCTGGCTGCCAGCTTCCCCACTCTGCTGGTCCTACGGCTGCTCCATGGGGGTACCCTGGCGGGGGCCTTCCTTGCCCTATACGTGGCTCGTGAGTATCTGGGTGATGCTCGGGGATGGGTGTCCACTGAGGCTGTTGGAGGGGGCAGTCTGCAGGGGAAGCCCCCATGTGCACTCGCCAAGGGCCTTCTCGAGGAGGTGCAGGCATGGTTTGCTACAAGCTCTTCTGTTGGGCAGGCCAGTGATTGATCCCCACAGCCCCAAACAGAGTGGGCCTCAGGCTGTCTGTGTCTGCCCCAGGCCTGGAGCTGTGCGACCCCCCGCACCGCCTGGTCTTCTCCATGGGGGCCAGCCTCTTCTCGGTGGTGGGCACTCTGCTGCTGCCTGGCCTGGCGGTGCTGCTGCGGGACTGGCGCCTTCTGCAGGGGCTGAGTGCCCTGGTGACTGGACTGCTGCTGCTCTTTTGGGGGTAAGTATGGCGGGAGCCAGGCCAGTGGCCGCATGGGGCCAAGTGTGCACCTTTCCTTGGCACCTCCATTCCACACTGGGAGCATGGCCATGGCACGGGGTTATAGGAAGCCACATCGGTGTCCCGCCCCCTGCATGCAGGGAGGAGCACTGACCTCTGCTGCTGCTTCGGAGAGGAGGTGGAGGGAGCCATGGGCATCCTCACCAACCCTGCAGGTTCCCAGTCCTGTTCCCTGAGTCTCCCTGCTGGCTGCTGGCCACGGGGCAGGTGGCCCGAGCCAGGAGGATCCTGTGGCACTTTGCAGAAGCCAGCGGTGTGGACCCCCAGGACAGCCCCTTGGAGGAAGAAAACTCCTTGGCTACAGGTAATGGGCCAGCTGGGAAGGAGGAAAGAGGGCCTTGGGGAGGCACCGCCGCTCACACCCGCTCCCCTGTCTCACGGCCACAGAGCTGGCTGTGCTGTCTACAGGGCACCCCCAGCCCCGGTACCACTCCCTCCTGGGGCTCCTGCACACTCGCATCACGTGGAGAAACGGGCTTATCCTGGGCTTCAGTTCGTGAGGAGAGGGAGAGGAAGGGCAGGGGTGGGGTGGGGTGGGGGGTCTGCACCCTCTTTTGGGGGTGGGCATTTGGTCCCCAGTATCTCCCTGCTCTGGCTGAGCCCACAGCTTCACTCTCCCTCCTAGGCTGATTGGTGGGGGCATCAGAGCCAGCTTCCTCCGCATCCTGGCTCCCAGCGAGCCTGCTTTTTATCTGCCTTACTTCCTGGAGGCCTGCCTGGAGGCAGTGGCCACAGTCATCCTGCTCCTCATGGCAGATCGCTGTGGACGCCGCCCTGTCCTGCTGCTGGGCACCATGGTTACAGGCCTGGCATCCCTGTTGCTCCTTGCTGGGACCCAGTGTGAGCTTGGGGCCCCAAGAGGCCATACAGGGGTCATTGTATTTGGGCTAGGGGTGTGCCTGATGGGGGGGTGCTGGACACTAAGTGCAGAGCTCAGGGGCTGTCGTGGGATCAGCCCCTTCCCACGGCCATAGAGCTGAGGGGGAGGCGGTACTAGGGGCCTGAGGCCCAGGGCAGAAGGACCAGCCTGCTATTCTCTTCACTCTGTCCATCTTTCCGTGTACAGTTGGGGACACCGAGACCCAAAGAGTTAGGAGGCCAAAAGGATCTTCCATGACAGGCCTAAATATAAGGATCCTGTCTGGGCCAAGAACACTTGCCCCAGGCAGAGTGCAGCATGGGAGTGAAAGGCTGGGGCCAGGCCTGGTGAGCTGTGCCTGGTGTTCTGGGCATACCAAGGCCCGTCTACACAGGGCAACTCCATCATGTGTGGGCTCTTGTTCCAAAGCATTCAGAATTTCAGGGTAATTCTCAAAATTGCAAAGAAGGTGGACAGCACGGCATTAACTTAGCTGGCCCTGGGTGGACACTGTTAACATGGGCTGTGACTTGGGGTCAGGAAGAACTTCCTTAGGACCTGAGTTGGGCTGGAATCAGGCTGCAGAAGACAGGGTCCCTGGCCAGGTCCCTCAGAGAGGGCAGGAGATGGGGGCTTGGGAACAATGTGCCCAGATGGGTGTGGATGGCTCTGGGGAGGGAGGGGCCCTGAGTGGTCATGGTGGAAGGCCATGTCTTTTTGTCCCCAGACCTGCCGGGCTGGACCATGCTGTCTCTCTCTGTCCTGGGGCTCCTGGCTGCCCAGGCTGTGTCTGCACTCAGCAGCCTCTTTGCAGCTGAAGTCTTCCCTACCGTGATCAGGTGAGCGAGCTTTGGGGTTGCCCTGAAACACAGCAGGGCCTAGGGCCCGGGACATCCCCGAGGAGGCCCTGTCCCCATGCCTCTCCTCCAGATCCCTCCGTTCAATCTCCACTCAGCGCTCAGCACTGCCCTCCTCCCAGGGGGCCAGGGACACTGCTCCGAGGTTTCTGGGCACATGGCTTAGGAACTGAGGAAGGGGAGGGAAGGGGAAGGAGGCCTGAATGGAGAGCAGAGATAGAGCTTTGAGGGGTGGCAGAACTCGAGGAGAAAAATCATTTTCTCATTTTCCAGTGGAAAGAACAGAGTTGTCCCAGGGCAGGGAGGTTTCTTCAGAAGTTTGTTTCCTTAAGCTCCACACCTTAAGCTCTGCTGAGACCTCCCCTGTCCCTGACAACGGGAGCCCATGCACGTGTCCATGTGTCCACCTGTCCACCCCTCTCTCTCCTGCAGGGGGGCCGGGCTAGGCCTCGTGCTGGGGGCCGGGCTTCTAGGCAGGGTGGCCGCCCCCCTCACCGACATGCAGGGCAGGCAGGGCTTCTTCCTGCAACACGTGGTCTTCACCTCCCTGGCCATCCTTGTCCTGCTCTGTGTCCTGCTGCTGCCCGAGAGCCACGGCCGGGCACTGCCCCAGTCGCTGCAGGACGCCGACCGCCTGTGCCGCTCTCCACTCCTGCATAGCAGCCCACACCAGGACCACCTGCCCCTGTTGCTGTCCTCCCACCCCCAGCCTCAGCAGCTCTCATCCTGCCTGGTAGCCCCATGAGCCTGAGAGGGGGAACAGCTCAGCACCCCAGATGCCTGGCTCAGGGTGATAGCTGGACAGATACACATCCTCAAGGCCATGTGTCGGTGCAGGCAGGAGAGCTGTGGGCATGACGTGCAGGCATCCCGGCTGGGCCCCTTGCTCCTGGGGGCCCTGGGGCTCCTCCTGCCTCAACCACCTGGTGCAGGGGATAAAGGCTCCTGTGGGACTTGGCACTCTCCTGGTTCTTCTCTCAGGCTGCACCTGGGCAGGAGGGGACCTTGCCCTTTGCCCACCCCCCTCTAGGCTCTCTAGCCTGGAGCCAGAGCTCGACGGCCCCTCACACTGCTCCAGCTGACCCGACTGGACTGGCCGCATCCCTGTCCTTGGGGGCATGGTCAGTGTGGTGCTGGGTGCCGGCTTGTGTTGGAGAGATGAGCACATTTTTAATTGAGATTTACCCAAGAGGCTGCTTGCTTTCTTAACAAAGATGCGGTCCACTCATGGGAGGCAAAGGTGGGTGTGGGGGTGTGGGGCTCCCAGTGGTGGCCACGGGGAGCAGCTCTCCCCACCCTGGCAAGAGGGTGCCTCCTTCTAGTCACCCCACTCCACACTCTGAGGCCTGTGGGGGTGGGGCCGGTGCCCTCCATGAAAGCATCTCCCCTCGCAGCCAGGGACTGGCATGTCCAGGCAGATCCCATATCAGGCTATCCACCCTCTGTGTCTGGGTGGAGATGTCCCCAGGAGGAAGCCGCCCCCCCTGGCTGGGTGGCCATATCCAGACAGCACGTTCAGACCCTCTCTCTGGCCCTCACGGGTGCCCGTACATGTCCGCCAGCCGGGCGAAGCGGGGACCCCAGTCCCGCAAGTAATCATAGTCCTGGTCCTCGTCACCAAGGCTGGACAGGATGGAGCTCAGTGTCCCGGCCACGGAGCCGTCCCCTTCGTAGTCATAGATGAGAGCTGTGTCATAGGGTGGCACACTGGGGTCGCTGTCTGCAGCCTCCAAGCCCTGTGCAGAGGCCCCAGAGCTCAGGACCTGTGCAGAGGCCAGCCTGGCTCCCCATACTTCTCCTGCCACAGTACAGCACAGGGTCTTCCCATGGGGGAGACCCTGCTCAAGGGGGAGGTGGCCATCCCTGAGCGTGTGGCAGCAGGGGTGCCAAGGAGGAATCCCTGTGGGCAGCTCTCCTTCCTTTGGGCGGGGACATCTGCCAGCCCTTTCCTGAGGGCTCTGTCCTGCCCCAGCAAGGTGGGAGGGAGCTGGTCCTCCACCATGTGTCCTGTGCACTACAGCCAGAACCCAGGGCCTCGAAGAACCCGTCCGTAAGGCCAGCTGGTCTGCTTTGTACAGGCTTCGCATCCACCTGCCCCAGTGGGACACATGCTCCTAACCAGAACCCACTGTGCCTGCCACTCTCAGAGTGGTCCTCACATTTGCTGGGGCTTTCTGTGAGCCAGAGCAGACGCAGATTTACCTATGTGCTCCCGCCCTGCCCACTGCCCACCCAAACCACATTCTGGACATCTCCCATGTTGATGACAAGGGTTCTTAAAGCTGTGTCCATACTGCTCTGGATGCTTCAATTCCCAGGGTAGTGCCGAACCCCGGCTCCCTTCCCCTAACAACTGCAGCACTGAGGCCCAAGGCCCCAGCCTGACACACGCCACAGAATCTTCAGTGTGTGCACCCGTGCACATGTGTACGTGTGTCACCATTCCCCTGGCCCCCTCCTGCCCGGAGGCACCTACATCACTGATGAAGTCCGAGATGTCAGCAGGGCTGGTGGGCAGCACACGGGGAGGCTGGGGGGGCAGGCGCCCATACGGGGTGTCCCGCCGAAGCGGCGGCCGGCCTGGAGGAGCTGTCAGCTTTGTGGGGTGGCGCAGCTGGTTTATGTCATAGGCATCCTGTGGGCAAAGTAAGTGGAATTAAGCCTCAGGTCATTGGGACAGCCTTGGGCTGGAGGCCCAGGAGAGAGCTTGTTAGGAGGCTCCTGGCCGGCTTGCTGGGAGAAGACCAACGACTGGGTTCGCTGGGGACCCCTTTCCCCAGGCTCAGCATTTCCAAGCCCCCCTGCCCTGCCCCTCACCTGGTCCTCCTCCCCGCCCCCCTGCTCGTCGTAGTTGAGGATGTTGTCCCGAAGGTCGTCCTGCAGCCCGTGCATCAGCCCCTTGTCCTGCGACCGCTGCCGGCACCGCGTGCGGAGCACCATGAGCAGGACCAGCACTGGGGGCGAGGGGGGGACAGGCTGGAGCTGGCGGGGCTGCGGGACGGGCCAGAGGGAGGAGGAGCAGGGCCGCGACAGGGGGTCCGGGAGCGTGGGAATGGGCAGTGGGGAGAGGCTGCCTGCGGGGTGGGGCAGGGGGCGGTGGGGACACGGCCCGGGCACTCACGCAGCAGCGCTGCGGCACTGGCCAGCACGGTGAGCAGCGCAGCCAGGCTGAGACCCGCGTGTCCGGCCCGCAGTGCAGCAGTCCCAGGCAGGCAGGTGCCGTCGGGGCCGCAGCGACACACGGTCACGTTCAGCAGCTGCTCGCGCTGCTGAGGCGGCCGCCCCGAGTCCCGGAGCAGCAGGCGCAGGGCATGTGGGCCCTCGGTGAGCCGAAGCCGTGGCCGCAGGTGCACGTGGGTCCCTGCGGGGGGCGCGGCAGTCAGCGAGCACCTCTCCAGCCAGACTCCCCAGCGCTGCCCTCCTCATGCTGGGACGAGGTGAGGGTCCCATGATCCCGGGCCTCAGTTTCCCTGTCCACCCACCTCCAGGCCCTGCCCGAGCCCCAGGTTGGGGTAGGGGAGGCAGCGCACCATTGATCTGGCTGAGGCTCCAGTTCTGGCCAAGCTCTGGGAACCTGGGGCTCAGCTGGAAGTGGAAGGGGGCCCCATGGGGGGGCAGGTCCTCGTCCGTGGCGCCCAGGAGGAGGCCAGGACCCTGGTGCGGCTCACTGCACAGGCTGCTGGGCAGTGGCGGTGGGGCCAGCACAGGGGCGTGATCATTGACCTCTAGGATCTCGATGGACAGGGTGCCGGTGGCTGTGCGCGGCGGGGAGGCTGCAGCAGGGAAGGCCCAGGTCAGCTCAGTCTCCCTGCCCCAAGCCCACGGCCCACCCTGTCAGTCTGCTTGGTGAACTGCACAGCTCCGAGCCCCTAGCACGGGCAGGCACCTTTGGCAGTGGCAGGGATGCCCAGGCAGAGAAAGGTCAGGTCAGAGAGCCGCAAAGCCAGGGGTGGGCTGCCGGCTCACCGTCATCGCAGGCCAGGATGATGGCCCTGTACCAGCCGTCCTTGAGGAAGGGGGAGGCCGGTCTGAGCACACGCTGGGTCTGGATCCGGCCGGTAGCTCCATCCACCTGCAGCCAGTCCTCGGGGTCATAGTCCTTGGAGTAACTGTTGGTGGGGAGGGGAGGTGTGGGACGGGGGTCCAGAGCTCTGCCAGGACCCCTAGAAGGATGGTCACACATACGCCCACACGGATCTGACGGGAGCTGCTGTCACCGAGCCCTCTGTGAGCCTTTGAGGACAGGCCTCTCAACAGCCCTAAGCTGGAGTTTCTGTCCCAACTGACAGATGAACCAACTGAGGCTCAGGAAGGCAGGGCAGCTGGTGACTGAGTGACAGCCTGGATTTAAAGCCGAATGGTACTGGGCCCACACAGGGGCGCCATGGGGAGACACATACACAGGCTGGGTGTTGGAACTGGGGGTGGGGGGAGTGGGGGGTGAAATTAAGACATTAACAGCCAGTCCCCAGGAGCAAGGGCTTGCAGGAACAGATGTGGCTGGTTCTCAGAGGCCTGTAGGAAACAGACTGTGGCTGTGGCAGTGTGTACCATCTGGAGCCCACCCCTGTCCTATGGGACAAGGTCACCCAGTATGGGACAAGGCTCGCATGGGACTTGACACCCTTGCTGGACTCTGAGGAACGCACACAGACAAGCCCTCCACCCTCTGACTCTCAGGGTCCACGGGCCCCCTCAGCAAGAATGGGGCTGTTAGCTCCCCCAGCTTGCCCCCAGAGCCCGGGAGAGCCCACCTGAGCCTCTGCAGCTGCTGTGTGTCGGGGTCTCGGGCAGAGAAGGTGGCCACAGGGGTTCCCGGGGGCGTCCCCTCGGCCAGGCTGGTCCGCAGTGGGTTCTCCTGGAAGACGGGGGCCTCGTTGGTGTCCTGCACCCGCACAATGACCCTGGCCTGGCCCTGCTGGGCCCGAGGGGCAGCTGCCTGCAGCGGGGCCTCATTCTGCACCGACACTTTGAGCTCGTAAAGCTGGCGACTCTCATAGTCCAGGGGCTGTGGGAAGAAAGCAGCAACGGCCACCTGTTCAGGATGCACATCTGGGCACCCGAGGACAGCTCCTGTAGGGGAGCCGCTCCCTGGATCCGTCCTGAGATCCCCCGTGTTCCTTCTTCCCCTTTTTAACCTTGAAAAAATAAAAATGATGTAGGACAAAAACGCACAAATAATAATATAAAAAGAATGACACAAATCCCCATCACTCAAAATGAGTTTGTTGGGTGTTGTGGTCGGTTTTACGTGCCACATGGCCAGGAAGCAGTCCCCAGTGACCCCAACAAACTCACACGGGTATTGCTGTGAAGGAATTTGGTGGAAGTGGTCAGCCTCTACAGTCAGTTGTTTTAAATGAAGGAGATTATCCTGGGTGATGAGGCTGGACCTCACCCGCTCAGGTGAAGGCTTTAAGCGCAAAACTGCAGTTGATCTGAGGAAGGAGACGTCCTGCCTCAAGACCGCAGTGCCGGCTCCGCCTGAGGATTTCAGACCTGCCCAGCCAGACCCCACAACTGTATGAGCCAATTCCTCGCAATAAAGCTCTTAATATACCAATATCTAAATACATCCACGTCTACATGTGTTATGTGCATACATACACCTGCACATACGTGTGTATCTCCAGCTGGTTCTGTTTCTCTGGTAGAACCGGCACCGACACAGGTGTGCTGTTGTGTTCTGTACGTGGATTTCATACATCAGGAGGGAAAATGCTGTAGATCACGGACCGTGGCCAGTGGGGCCTGGACCTGTGGTCCCAGCATTGCCAGTCCACAGGCTGGGGCTGGGGGCTCTGTGCCCTCCCTCTGCTGTCTCTCACCCAAGGATGCACATGAGGTCCCAGTAGCCCCGGGGAGCTCAGGACATGGCTGACAAGTGGGGATGCCCATGCCAGACCCAGCCAAGGGCAGCTGTAAGCTGGGGCCACTTACCTTCACCACGGAGAGCACACCAGCGTTGGTCTTAGGGTCTGTGCGGATAGTGAACTGCCCGTCGGGGTCACCTTCCAGGATGGTGAACTTGGCTGCCCAGTTGGGGGAGCCTGGCAGGTCCCTGTCCTCCACTTCCAGCCGCCCCACATCCACTCCGCTGACAGCCTCTGCGGCCTCCATGAAGGACTGGGGGAGCCCAGCCTCAGTTACCCACTGGTCCTCCAGATCTGTCTGCTTCATGCGTCACCGCCCCCCAGGGACCCAGGGCTCAGTTCCAGGCCAGGCCACATAGACGTGCCACCCTCTCCCGGAGAGCAGGCATCCTGCTCTGCAGAGGCCTCTCCCGGCTCCTGACCATCACTCATTTGCAAGCACCTGCCTCTGCAGACCCTCTGGAGTGGACTTCTGTGCTCCCCTCGCAGGACCCTTCTCCAAAGCATGCCGAACTCCCACCCCTACACGAAGCCCCTGCCAATCGCCGGAGAAGGGAAGGGGCAGCACCAGGCAGGGACTGGTGCGGGTGGGGGAGGGACAGTGGTGGCACCTCATCCCTGGTGAACTCAGGGGCATTGTCATTGATGTCGTCGACAGAGATGACAGCGGAAGCCGTGGCGGTGAGGCCGTCTCCAGACATGTCGGCCACCTGCAGGGTCAGATTGTACACGGCGACCACCTGGGGACACCGTGGCACGGGGTCAGAAGATGGAGTCCCAGGCAGGGCAGAGGGCCAGGGCTGGTGGGTCCCCTGAGGCTGGGAGCCAGGCCCTGTGGCGGGCTCAGCCCTTACAACAGGACAGGTGGGGGAGCTGGGGCGCGGCTCACCTCGCGGTCCAGCCCCACTTGCACTGTGCGGATCTCCCCCGTGTGCTCATCAATGCTGAAGAGCTCGGGGCTGCCTTGCTCCAGGATGGAGTACCGCAGCGCTGCATTGTCTGTTTCTGGGTCGTCGGCATCTGTGGCCTCCGCCCTGGTCACATAGGTGCCTGGGAAGAACAGGGAGGTGTGTGGGCAGTGCCTATGGAGCGTGCAGGCTCTGTGGTTCCGACACAGCTTGACCTCAGGTGGAGCAGCCTGTGCTTGCCTCGCTCGCATCACTGAGGCCAGGGGCATGCGCCACCCCCAAGTCCAGGCGCTTCTCATGGCCACCCACAGCCCGTATGGGCCGAGAAGCAGGAGCTTCAGATAAACATCCAGTCAAGAGCTGACCCCAGACACCATAGGAGGAGAACCCAACCCCCAGGGAGAGGACAGAGCCGCTCACAGCGGGCCCTCCTGAGGACTGCCCTCCGCCCCCCTGCAGAGGTGCAGGGAAGGTGAGGCTGGGCGAGGCTGGGGTCTCGCACATGTTGGCATGTGTTTGATCAATGGTGGTAAAATCAGCTGCTGGCCCAGCCCCAGGGGGTTAAGGGCCTGTGCAGAGGTGGGACTGCTAACCAGGTAACTCCTGGCACAGTACTGGACCCAGGCCAAAGCCAGAAGGAATGTTCTTAGTAGGCTTCCCCTAGCAGTCCTCAAAGTACCCTCTGTTTAAAAAAAGTTTTTTGGTGGCTGGCTGGTGCTGGGTCCAAACACTGCGCTCTGGCCAACTGAGCCAACGACCAACCCCCACCTTCTGTGTGTTCTACGGGGGAGGAGGTTACGTGCACAGCGTGGGTGGTGGGCTGGTCTCTCGCCATCTGAGAAGGGGCTGTAACAGGCGCTAGAGCGACCCTGGGGCACTCCAGCAGGTGGAGGTGGAGGTGCCACTCAGAAGTGGGGACTCGTGGCAAAGACATATCAGCACAGATGGGAATGAGTCCACTCACGCACATGCATACAAACTCGCACACGCATGCGCTCACACACGTGTGCACACGCTTACAAGCGCACACGTGCACTCACATGTATACACAATGCACACGCACGTGTGCACACATGTACACCCATGTCTGCAGACATGTAGGTACAAGTATAAGCACACGAGGGCATTTCAAGAAGATTCGGGAAAAATGGAATTAAAAGATAATAAGCATCTTTCCACGGGCCTCCTGCAGTGCCCTCCTGTTCCCTGCTGTGTCTGCTAAAAGGGCCCAGGCCAAAGTCAGCTTGCCGGCCCCCCCACTGGGCAAATCTGGGTGGTCCAAGCAACAGAATAATAATGATTTATAAGCCAACGGGTGAAGCCTGCTGAAGTCTGGTGTGGGGTGGCAACGCACAGGCCGTTGGCCACACCGTGGGATCTGATCCAAGGCAGCAGCAGGGGCCTGCCCAGACCACCATCTACAGGTGACCAGACACTGGCTGATGGAGGACCCGAGGAGACCCGCGATGATCACACATGGGAAGCAGCCCGCGGCAGCAGGCAGCAACACGCATGCACAGGAGGGGCTCAGGAGCCGGGCGGGCGCTGCAGAGAGCCAGGTGCTGGCGACGGAAACGCAGGGTGGCCAGTGCAGCCACGAACTGGGACTTTCTTTTGCTCTACAAGTCACTGATGCGGTGTTTGAAACGGAATAAAGTCTGTAGATGTGATGTTAGTATCGTGTGAATGTTAACTTCCCGGTTTTGACAACACACCAAGGCTAAGTTATCAGAAAGCGCACAGTGAAGTGTTTAGGAACGACGAGGCATCAGGTCTGCAGCAGCGCAGTCCAGGAAAGAGCACAGAAGGAGGGAGCGAGGAAAAAAAGAAAGAATTAAAGCAAGTTCATAAACATCACGTCTCTGTGAAAGGTGTGCAGGGATTTTTTGCAACTTTTCTCTAAGTCTAAAATTATGTCAAAGTAAAAAAGGTAAAAGTAAAAAAAAAAGATTATCATTTCAAATCTCGAAAAACAAAAAATGAGATAAAATAAGTGCCAGAGGGTGCAGCTTTGCAGTTAATCAGCGCCTTGTTGTCCTGAAGCACAGACCCCCCCAGGATTTGACCAAAACCCCAGGACCAGAGTGGGAGGAAGGGGGCCCGGCCCTGCCCTGGGAGAGTCAGGCAGCCAGCCTGTCCTGCAGGACGTACGAAGGACACGGGTATGGTTTGCTTGGGATCAAAACATAGAATAAACAAGCAACTAGAGGGAGTGACTGCTCAGAGGCTGTGGGGTTTCCTCCTGGGTGATGGAAATGTTCTGGAACTAGCAGAGGTACTGGCCACACAGCACCGTGAATGTACTGACGCACTGAACTGTTCATTTTAAAATGGTTCATTTTATCTTATGTGAATTGCACCTCAATTAAAGGAGGAGGAGGAACAACCAGAGCTGTGCCATCAGGATTCTTCCCTTTGTGTTTCCTCTGGGTTTGAAATTTACATTGAACTGTGAAGTGGCTTAAGCTGACCTGTGGAAATGCCGTCTTGGAGAATCTGTTTACCTAGTTGTAGACTCTTTGAAGGACCCTCTGAAATCCCTGCTTAGGGGAAATCCTGGGCTTCCCACCTACCCGGAGCCCTGCACTGAAGCCCTCCCCATGGCTGGGAACTGGGGGTGGGGTGGGGGCACGCTGGGCTCCACCTCACCTGGGACAGCGCCCTCAACCACTCGGCCAGTGAACACCTCTTGCTGGAAGGTGGGCCGGTTGTCGTTCTGATCCACAACCACGATCTCCAGGTCTGTGGGGTCCTCCAGGGTGGACCCTCCCAGGTCCAGGGCAAAGGCCCGCAGCTGTTCAAACAGAGAGCAAGGGCTAGCATGGTCCCCCCCCAAATCTCAGTGGCTCCCATCAAGGACATGCAAAAGGGACAGAAAGTGCAGACTTTGTCTCCAGGTGGAAACACCAACTTAAACAGGTGAGTGAAAACTTCCCCAAAGGGAAGTCTGCCTTCTCTTAGCAGACTGGTGGCCGCCATGCTCTCCCCCTTGCCTTGGCCGCCAGGAAGCTCACGCTGTTTCACGTGCCACTGAAGCAACACGCTTATTAGGACTCCTGGTCTCCTTTTCTCTATATGATTTTGGCTCCTCATAAAGTTTAATTCTCCTGTGCACGTGAAATTTTAAACTACCTCCTCTCCTTTTGGAGAATGTGCATGGTAAAAATACTAATAACTTTCTGTGTAAGGGAACCAAGAGCTGTTTCTTAAAGTCTGAAGGAAGATTTAGGGCATATGAGAGTTAATCTTGCTTCTGAACAGGCACGGGCAGGGGCCTCCTTTCCCCAGGTCAGGAATGAAGAGACACTGTGGAGAGTCCAGGTGGGGGTGGCAGATGCTCTGCAGGGACCTCAGGGGTAGCTCCTTACCTCCCCTTGCCGCCCTTTCTCTCAGACCCCAGCCCTCCGAGGGGCTACCCCAAACACAGTGGCTGCTGCTGGGGTTCTCATGACACCCCCATCCCCACCAAAGAGGACCAGGATCCACGGAGAGCCTCAGACGGTCCCTCCTCCACGGACCTGGGTTGTCCATCTGTTAAAGAGGAACATAATCCCAAACGCCTGCTTCCTTGGGCTGCAGGTCCCAGGTCCCAAATTCCTGCTCCCGCCTCATGAGAGCTGGTGGTTTGGCCTGAGGCGCACCACACTGGGGACAGAAGCCCGGGTGGGCAGAGGGGCCTTGGCTTCCCACCAGGCCTCCTCGAGGAGGCAAAGGCCGGACTGGGCGGGCCCCCACCCTAAAGCGGTCGGTCTTCTCGCGGTCCAGCATGGCATTAAGGAACACCCGCCCGGTGAACTTGTCTATGGAGAAGACGCCCCGTGGCTCCTCGTCCACGCCGGGTCCCTGGATGCTGTAGATGACACTGCCGAGCTGCTGCTTGTCCGACTTGATCTGCTGGGCAGGAGATGGGGCTGGAAAGTGGTGCTCCCAGGGAAGGGGATCCTGCCCTCTCCACAGCCCCTCAGGCCCCTTCCCTGGCTGGGAGCAGTGAAAGTCCAAGGCTCTGAGGGCTAGGGGCAGGAGAGCCCACTCTGTGGCCTGAGGGTGTCCCAGTCCCAAACCATGATCTCAGTCTCAGCTCCTGGTGTCCTCAGGACCCTGGTCTCTAGGGACACATCTGGTGTGTGCACGAAGCGAGTGCAATGCATGCTCAACTAGCATCTATCCAGTGTCCGGAGGGTAAGCAGGTGGAGTCGCCACCACAAAGTCCAGCCTAGAGGGCTTGTCCACTGGGCCCAGGGCTGTGAGAGGGTCTTCCAGTCTAGCTTTTGGCCCAGGTGAGAAACCCAGAGCCCTGGTGAGCCGCCAGCCCTCCAACCTCCGGCTCAGCTCTAACAGCAGTTGGGGGCTCCCTCCAGCTCCAGGAGACCTTTTGGGAATGGGGGGACACTCCATGCATAAACCTCAGGGGACCCACTGGGGACAACCAAGCCTCCCACGTCACCTCCCACCCCCTCAGCCCCCTCACCTGCACCAGGGGGTAGGGGAGGCGCTTGTGGTTCTCGGACACACTGATGGGGGGAATGACCCAGGCTCTGCGCACACGGCCCAGTGCAGGCGCCCGGCGCCAGGGGTATAGGGTGGTAGGCCTGTGCAGCCCGGGGACCCCCACACAAAGGCCAAGGCTCTGCAACAAAGACAGACCGCGGTCACACAGTGTGAACATCTGGAGCGCCCCACGTGCCAGGCAGGGAGCAGGAAGCTGAGAGCCCCCAAAGGAGGCCGCGAGACAAAGCCATGGCCCTGGGTGGTGGGCCAGTCACCAGCCTGCAGCAGAGCCCTGAACTGTAGGTCCCGGGGGGCTGGCAGCCACACCCCCAAGTGTCTAGTCCTCAAAGTCCCAATAAAGCAGTCTCTCCCACACCCCATCTGTCTCCTCCCCTCACCTGGGAGCTCCCAAATTCAGAGACCCCCATCAACAGGTGTCAGCTGGCTGGGAGGGAGCGTGAGGATTCGGTGCCCCTACGCAGCTCCCGCCGTGCCCCGGTGCTCCATGTGTGCTCAGGGCTGGGGATGGCAGGAGGTGTGGGAGCAGGGGAGGTGCTCAGTGCTCTGCACACAGGTGAGACACCTGGTGAGGTGAAGTCCTGCCCAGGCTCCCCCCTCTGGAGGCAGCCTCTGCCCCTCCCCAGCTCTTGTTCCCCAAGAACCTGGGGCTGGGGAGGAGGGACAGGGCATGGGTCAGCACCGTAGACAAGTATAGCTGCTGGGAACAACCGCGGCCCCTTCCAGGAGCCTGTGCGGGTGGGGACTGCGGAGGGAGCGTTGGCATGGGGCAGAGAGGTGGTACACGGGGGCCCTGTGGGTGGACCTGTCGAGGTGGCTGTCCCTGCCCCTCACAGCTTGAGGTCTTGAGGGTTGGTCGAGGTTGGCCAGGCCAACACCTGCTTTTGTCCAAAGAGGTGCAGAGAGGGGAGGGGCTACCTGAGCATCCTGCCCAGGGTGGGCACAGCCTCGCCCTGGGCTCCCCGGGTAGCCATGCACGCCACAACCTGAGCTGTGCGCCAGGGCCTCCAAGGGTCTATGGGGAGTGGCAGGGACTGTGCCAGCTGGAGGGGTGTCCACTCTCTCCCTCTACCACACCTGCGGATTGGGGTGCCCTGTTTGTAATTTCCCCCCAGGAAGTCCCCATGCCTGGGATGGCGCCTGGACAGAGCAAGGGACAGAAAAGGGAGGACAGGGCCGCACGCTGCCCACCCCAACTCCAGGGGCGGGAACCTCGGGCCAGTAAACAGCATGAAGGGGGCACCTGCCCAAGATCCAAACTCTCCCAGACCCACAACTTCTGCTCCCATTTGTGACCTCAGAGCTCTCAGACGGGAAAACTGGGGCCGAGAGAAAACAGTCATCCAGCAAGTCACGGTAGCATTGGCAGTGGCTCCCAAAACACATCTGAATTTCCTGGGATTGCCCTGGCTTCAAATATGCGGTCTTGGTTCCCAGCTTCTAGACTGGGCCCTGGCATTGGGACCCAGCCTCCCACCTGGGTGACCCCCCCGCTCTCTGATTTGGAGGGAAGCCTAGAGGGAGGGGACAGTCTCTGCACGTCAGAAGCATCAGAGGACTTTTAAGACACACCTGTGCTGGGACCACCCAAGCCCCAGAAGCCAGCGTTCCTGGGTGGGCCACACTGGGGCTCCTGAAAGACCCTTGACCCCGACCACAGCCCGGGCAGAGGCTACAGCAGTGGACACGGGCAGAGCCCTGCGCTGACCTCACCCTGCCCAGGGCCTTGAGGGCTGGGCTCAGGCGTAGAGATGTTGAGGGGTGCTCATGCTCCCCAGTGGCAGTGAGGTTACCAGGCCAACACCCCGTGCAGCTCCTGGGGGGTCGGACGCGGATAAGGGCTGTCAGGGCCCAGGGCAGGGGTTGTGGAGAGAGGGGGTCAGTCACCTGTGGAGACACAGCTGGGTTTGGCTCTGAGCACATGAGCGGTGCCCCCACCTGACGGCTGCCCCTAAGCCCAGGCAGGGCAGGTGGGCTGGGGGCACGCAGAGGGGACAGCCCCCTCCCAGAGCCTTTTCCAACACGGCGCTCCAGGGTCTCCAGGCTCCCAGGCCTTCTCTTGGGTTGACTTCCCTCCCCACAAAGGCTCTACCCTGCCCAACAGCACTTTCTTTGACACTGCTAGAATGTTCTAGAACTGCTCTGCCCAATAACCACAAGCCACGTGGTACTGTGGAGCCCTTGAAAGGAGCCTAGCACAACTGGGGAGCTGAACTTTTGATTTATTTCATTTCACTTAGTTTAAGTCACTGCGTGTGGCCGGGGCTGCCTGTTGGACACATAGCGCCACGCCTGGCCTTAGCAAGGGTGGTGAGGCCTGGGGTCCGGCTACCTGCTCTCCCCAGCCTTGGCCCCCCCCCTTCCCAGGGGGTCCCCTCATTCAAGGGCAGAGTATGGCACCGGGCGCAGAGGCATGGGGGTGGGGAGACCTACAGTTGGAGAAGCTGAGGCTGCGGGTGGGCAGGTTTCTGGGCTTCCGGCTACCTGCTCTCCCCAGCCTTGGCCCCCCCCCTTCCCAGGGGGTCCCCTCATTCAAGCGCAGAGTATGGCACCGGGCGCAGAGGCATGGGGGTGGGGAGACCTACAGTTGGAGAAGCTGAGGCTGCGGGTGGGCAGGTTTCTGGGCTCCAGGGCCAGGGTTGTAGTGGGAGTGGCAGAGGGTTGGGAGGGGTGCAGGCACCATGTTGTCCCCGTGCCCCAGGCCTCCCTCTCGGGGGCCAGCCCCCCACCCCCACCCAGGACAGAAGTCCTCAGGCCGGTGTGCTGCCCAGGAAGGGCAGGAGGAACAGGGGATACTAGAGAGACATCAGGATGCAGGAGAGGGTCTCGCGCAGGTGCTGGGGGTCTGGAGGGCAGGGCAGACCCTGAATAGGGATGTGCGCTGGGCCCACTTCCTCAAAACCACCCCCCTTTCGGGCCGGCCCAGTGGTGCACTGCTACAGTGCGCCGCTTGGGAGTGCGGCGGCGCTCCTGCCGAGGGTTCGGATCCCACATACAGACCGGTTCCCGCTCACTGGCTAAGCGAGGTGCGGGCGCAACACTGAGGGTTGCGATCTGTTGCCGGACACGAAAAAAAAAAAAAGACAAAAAGGAAAAAAAAGAAAACCACCTCCCTTTCAGACAGCCGCCCCCTACCTGGTCTCGATGTCGTCCTCTTCACAGGACGGAGGCCCGAGTCCCTTCCTCAGGACGGCAGGTGGCTGGGATCTGGGGAGGCTCATGGCCTTTCCCACCTGGCACTGTGTCCAAAGATTTGTGCCCTGCTCCCCAGCACCTAACAAAGTTCCCAGCCCCGTGCTGAGTGAGGAAAGGGACATCAGGGAGTCACGGGATGACATGAGCAGCCTGGTGCGCTGCGGAGTCCAGACAGACACTAACAGGTGACCTGCAGCTTAGCTTTCGTCTGTGAAATGGAGCGCTCTGGATTTGGGGGTGGCACCCCCTGCCTATGGGACCCAGACTCAGAGGGCTCCCTTCCAGCCAGGGCAGGCTGGGGCTCTGGCCCTGTGCCGCTGCCAGGCTCTCTGGCTGCCCGTTCTCCTCCAGGGTCCCAAGCCCCTCAGGAGCTGCCAGCTGGCCGCCTGGTCCCACTGGCTTCCACTAAACCTCTCTCCCCACTTTGGCCGAGATTGCAGTCCATGGAGGGCTGGGGACATGGGGTCGGGGGCTGGTCCCTCAGGAGGAGAAAGCAGCCACTGGTGGCGTAGGGGTGGGGGTGGGGATGGAGGTGGCGGGGAGGGGCCGACACCTCTCTGGCTCCCTCTTTCCTCCTGGCTCCTGACCACCTGTGTTCCCAGGCCGGCAGCAGTAGGTCCCCAAACGCCATGTTGACAGATTGGCCAATGGCTGTGACATCCACACTGAAGCCAACCTCCCCTGGAGGGCTCTCGGTCCCCTGCTGGTGGGACCCGGACCACCTCCTCCATGGCCCACCATCCTTTGTTCAAGTCCTCACACCTGCAGGGGCCCTGGGTGTCCAGAGAGGAGCGGACCCTCTTTGCAGACATGAGGCGGAAGAGGACAGGCTAGGGGCTCACTGGCTGGTGACCCCGCCCCCAGGAAGCTCTACCTGACAGATGGCAGTGCTGCCTCCAAGCCGGCCAAGCCAGCCAAGCCCACGCCACTCCAGGTCGGGGTGTGTTCCTGCCAAGTGAAACCTGCCTGCCCAGCATGGGGTGCCTTAGTCACCACTCCAGTGGGTACGGGGGCTGCTCCGGAGTGCTTGCTGGGCCAGCTCTGTGCCAGGCCCTGAGAATGTGCCCCTCGCCACCTCAGTCCTCATAGCCCCTGGGATCCGGGTGGACATCACCTCATCTCACAGCCCTGGAGAGTGAGGTTCAGAGAGGCTGAGGCACTCACTCAAGCCACACAGGCCAGGCTGGGATTTGTGAGGTTGGAGTCCTGAGCCTGGCTCTGAGCTGCTGTCACTCGGAACATGTGGGGCGGCGCCTGCCCCTGCCTCGGCTCTGTGGACCCTGCATGGCTGAGGGGCACCGGGATCACCCCCCACCCCAGCAAGAGCTTCCACCCTTTCCTTATCCAGCTGCTGCCAAGCCTGCGCCACCCTCCATCCCCCAGCTGCCTGGGCCCGACACCCATCAGCTTGGCCCTGTGCTGGGTGCGGTTGAGGCAGAGCCTGGGAGTCCTGGGTCCCCGGCCTGTCCACGGCCCGAGTTCATGAGGTCAGTGGAAGCCACAGAGCCTTGGCAGGCCCCCTTGCCCAGATCAGAGATTGTGGTGGGTGTGGGTGGATGGGCCGCAGCCAACTCCCGGCTCTCAGGGGGCATTTGTGCAGCCAGCTCTTTGTCAGCCCAGCCCCTTCCCAGAAGACATGGCCAGCTGGAGGGAAGTCCTGGGAGCCGCCTTGGGGAGCTTGGACATCCGGTGCCACAGACAAAGCCACACGGACACAGCTAGCTCACACAGACCCCTGCCCGCTGGGGCGGGAACAGAAGCCTGTGCTTCTGTAGATTTTGGACATGCGCTCTTGTATACCTGTCCACTTTCTCTGTCTCCTCCAACCCCACGCCAGGCCAGACCAACAGTATTATAGACCCACCTCCCCAAAGTGGGTGCCCAACCACACCGCCAAGCTCATCCTTGACCAAGAACCTCACAGAACCATCTGGAAGCCCTAGACATCAGGGCCACTGCCTGAAGCCAAACTACTGGAACCCCCTCCCCTCCCTGGGGCTGGGTGATGAAGCTCCCCACGCTCACCTCACCAAGTGCTGGCAAGTGCTTTACAAACACCACTAAGAGGGGGAAGTCACCACCCGTTCCAGGAGCACAAAGGGCATCAGAGGTGGGCCTGGATTGACACTGAGGAGTCCCCACGCAAGGGAGGCAGACACCCCCTCCCTCTCGGCACACGGTGGACTGAACTAGCGGCCCCTCTGGGGCTCCTACAGCGCCTGTCCGGGTTGGAGCAGCAGAGCAGGCCGCTCCCCAGCCTGCAGGGTGCAGTGTCCTGGCCGAACCAAGGAGGGAGAGAGAGCGTTTTCTATCCCCCCACCCAGTGTAGTTGGGCCAAACCTCACAAAATGCCCAGATGGTGGTGGGCTGGGGAAGGGCTTCTGGGGCCGGCCTCACACCTGCCGCAACCGACTCTCCAAGGAAGGATGTTCCTGACACGCCTGGTGAGAGTGTGGGTGGGGCTTGCATGGGAAGGGGGAAAGAAGTCCCTGGCCTGGACTCCCCGCAAGCTTCTGAGGCCTGAACCCCTCCCCTAGGCTGGAATCTGGGGCCACCCTGTCCCTGGACGTCCAGGCATGCCAGGAATGGAAGCAGCTGTCTTCCCAGACCAGAGGGGCCCAAGCGTCTCCCCAGCAGGCCCCACCCTCTCCAGCTGCTGCAGGCTTCAGAGAGGGATGAGGATGGGGTGGCCTGCAGGGACAGGGGGAGCGGGGCAGCTGTTTCTGCCCATCGGCACTGCCCTGCCCCCACTGGCAGGACAGAGTTGGCTGTGCCCAGAGCCACAGTTTTGGTGTTCGGAAGCTGTCCTGCCTGCCCTGGAGAGAACGACGGACCAGGAGCCACTTCTCTTTGTGGCCTCTACTATGTCATGTGGGCTAAAGATCCCCCCACCCGGCCCTGGAGAAGCCACTGTGGGCAAGGTCCTCTTCCAGGCACCCCCAGCCCTGCCCAAGTGGTCCACACCTGTACAGCCCCCAGGGGTGCTGCTGAGGCCCCAGAGACCACGTGGCTCCTGAGACTGGAACACAGGTATGGGGCCCTTCCCAGCAGACTGGGGGTTTCTCTGAGTCACCCATGCTCCCCCATTCCTCTGCCATCCTCCCAGCTGGGGTGGGGTCCCTTATGTAGGCCCAGCGACTCAGGATAGTGTGGGTGCAGGGGCCCCTTCTGAAGACATGGTCCACACCCCCTGGTGTCACCCTGGGGCTCAGTGGGCTCAGCTTTTAGAGATGACTGGGGTAGGGGAGACAGGTGCCTCGGCCAAGGCCCCAGAGCTATGGCCCTGGCCCAGAGCCCACCAGAGACAGCCCTGCTGGGCCAGGCTGGCCTGCCTGGGGGTTTCCGGAAGTGAAACCAGGATTGTCCAGGAAGCGGCCACAGGACCCATGTGGCTGGGCAAGAGGACAAAAGTCTGAAAGCTGAGCGGGTGTGTGTGTGTGTGTGTGTGTGTGTGCAGGGTCCTGACACAGACATGTTTTGGTAGGTCTGGAAGAAAGTCCCTCAGACCGGAGCTAATCTGAACCAGGCCCCACTGGCGGGTCCCCTACCCCCATTCCTAGGAGCCTCCAGCTGTCTGGGGGGTGGGGGGATTCTTCATTAGCCCTGGGGGAGGAAAGGGGATGGGGAGAGGGGAGGCCTCTGGAAGGGGAAGAGAAGCCAAGGGGAATCCAGCTCCCCTCCCCCTCCCATGCCCCCAAACTCAAAGGAGCAGGGTCTCCAGGAATGTCTAAATAAGCACTGGGCTCACAATGTGCCTGTCAGGGTATGTGGGGGAAAGGCTGTCCCCAGAGCGAGTGGGGGGCTTTGGAGGCACGGCACCTTCAGCAGGCAGGTCCCGGTGTATGAGGGCAGCCGGTCTGCGGAGGGTACAGGTCCTGGCAGCCAGGCTGTGCTGGGCCCAAGGGTGGCCATGTCCGCACTGAGCAAGCTGGACGTGGGCAGCTAAGGCCGGCTGGTGGGGCCACTGTCTCTGGGGCGGGGGGTGGGAGGGGCAGTGGGAAGGCCCCAAAAGGCCAGGATGGAAGTGGCTGAAGCCACGAGGCTGGGTGCCCTAAGGAGGCAGCTGCTGGAGGGTCTGGCCGGCCAGCTGAGGTTTCAGCCCCTGACAGCTGACCAGGCCCCTAGACAGCCAGAGCTGGGAGGTCTGTGGGAATTAGAGGGGCCTCAGAAAACCCCTGCGGGGGGTGCTGGGACAGACGGCTCCCTTCACCAGCGCCCAGCGCTGCCTGACTGCCTGATGAATGATACTGAATAGCACCCGAGCACCTGCTAAGCCCTGTTACCTGTTAGATCTAAGAGGTGAAAGGCCGTCCTGTTTACAGAACCACATCCCAACCACTGCCCGGCCCTGGCCCTGGCCCTGGCCCTGGCCCTGGCTCAGCAACCCCTGGAGACAGGGGCCACTGAAGCCACATCCTCTGCAGCCAGGCCCCAGCCCAGCACCGCCCAGCAGCCCAGGGCATGAGGAGACGTGGCACTGTCCAGGAAGTGCCCACGGTGGGGATCAGAGACCCCACTTCTGTTTACTCCATCTTGCTCCCACGTTGGGGAGACCAGGGTGCCCGGGGCTGGGATCAGGGTCCCTGGCTCTATCAGCCCAGGCAATGCTGCAGGGTCTCCAGGTGGACACAAGGGCACAGCAGTTGTCCTGGGCGGGGACACAGCCCTTGTGTGGGATGGTGTGTGCTGGGACCTGGCTCCCTGGGGTACTCTTAGAATTCATGTTCCTCGAGGGCTGAGCCTGCAGCTGCCCCTGCCGGCTGGGGACATGGGGGAGTGGGCTCCCACACCACCCAGGACTAACACGGGTCATGTGCCGGCCCAGGCCACGGGCAGGGAGTCCCTGCGGAAACCCAGCACCCAGATCCCCCAAGACCGGCAACCCCAGACCCTGGCAGGATAGAGGAGACTCTGCCCTGCACCTCCAAAGGGAAGGGACCGCTGGGTGGTCTCCTGCCTGTCCCCCAGCGTGGCTCCCAGTCCTGGGGTGCTTCCCCCAAACTCCCAGCTGGAGGCGGTTGCACTCGCTCCTGGAACCCTGTGGGCACAGAGCGCGCCGCTTCCCACAGCGTTCCGGAGAGCGCGGCACCCACCCCGGCCCCCGGTTCACAGGCCCCCCGAACGGCGGCCGGGCCAGCGCTCCTGGGGAGGCCCGCAGCGCTCCCCTGAGAAGCTGTTGGGGCCCGGGACGGCAGGGACCCCGCGGGCGCCAATGCCTTACCTGGGCCAGCAGCCCGAGGGCCAGGAGGAGCGCGGCATCCATCGGGGCCGGCGGAGGGGAGAGGCCAGGGCAGAAGTGTCGGGGCGCGGCGGCCGGCGTGGCGGCGCCTCCGCTAGGGCCAAGGAGCTCGCGCGGCTCGGCCCGGTTGAGTGACAGCGCGAGTGCGCCGGCCGCGGGCAGAATGACCGCACGTGTGTGGGCGGGGCCGGGGCTGAGTGACAGCGCGAGTGGGCGGGCCACGGGCAGAGTGACCGCACGTGTGTGGGCGGGGCCGGGGCTGAGTGACAGCGCGAGTGGGCGGGCCACGGGCAGAGTGACCGCACGTGTGTGGGCGGGGCCGGGGCTGAGTGACAGCGCGAGTGGGCGGGCCACGGGCAGAGTGACCGCACGTGTGTGGGCGGGGCCGGGGCTGAGTGACAGCGCGAGTGGGCGGGCCACGGGCAGAGTGACCGCACGTGTGTGGGCGGGGCCGGGGCTGAGTGACAGCGCGAGTGGGCGGGCCACGGGCAGAGTGACCGCACGTGTGTGGGCGGGGCCGGGGTTGAGTGACAGCGCGAGTGGGCGGGCCGAGGGCAGAGTGACCGCACGTGTGTGGGCGGGGCCGGGGCTGAGTGACAGTACGTGGGAGGCCTCTTGGCGGCCGAGGCTGGGCCCTGCCCGGCTGGGGGAGATGCCTGGGCTCGCAGAAGTCTAGAGTGGAGGGGGAGGGAAGGCTCTCAGAGAAGTCAGGGGTGGCGGGGACTGGGCTAGGCCAGACTGGATCCATTCGTTCTCCGTTTCACTGTTGTTTGAACTTGCCAGGCACGCCCCTGCCTCAGGGCCTTTGCACTGGCCATTCCCTCTGCCTGGAGGGCCCTTCCCTCAGCTATTCCCAGGCTGGCTCCCTCGCGCCTCCTGGGTTTTGTCCAATGGCACCTCCTCACCACACCACTGCGCCTCGCAGGTTCTTCGCGTGGTTGTTTACTGGCTCCCCCACTGGCCTGGAGCCCCACAAGGGCTGGGGTTTGTTCCCCGCTGATTCCTGGTCCAGCGTGGAGGAGGGGCAAACGGACACCTAGCCCAGGGCCCAGCCTGGGTGCAGAGCAGGACAAGGTGATGGAGTCTCCAGGAGGGGAGGGGTTGCAGGGGTCCCCTGGGGGGCCTTGGGCCTCTTCTTCATCACCCAACTCCTCATCTACTGGGGAGAGGAAAGGGTTACGTGAGGATGGGTGGACCAGGGAGACTCCCTGCCTCCGCAGGCCTGAGCGGGGCCCCTAGAATACCTGGACTCAAGAATTACGTTCTAGGGAACAGAGGGGATGGGGCGGGCTAGCCAGGAGGGGGCTCCTGAGGAGGTGACCTTTGGGTAGATAACTGTGACATGAAAGGCTGGAGCGGGGCCGGGGGGTGTGGTCTGCGACCAGAAGGGGCTCAGGCCCAAACCTCTGCTCAGCTCTGCATCTGGAGAGCGTCTGTCCCCACAGTCGTGGCCACCAGGATCGTCTGCTTCATGCATGCTCTGCAGACGGTGGTGTGCCAACCCAGATGTGCCCTGGCAGCCCAGGGTGAGGCGTTCCCTTCCTCCCCTCAAGTCCTTGTGGCCAGTGGGGGGGTTCCCGGTCACCCCAGCTCTGAACCCGCAGCTCCTGGAGGGAAAGGGCTGTGTCTTAAAGCAACTGCACCCCCAGAAGCACAGTGCTGCCGAGTGAACAAAGGGTTTGCATCTGCTCAGCGCCCCCGAGAGGGAACAGGAGGAATTACAATCGTCATTGCAGAAGAGGGTCTGAAGCTCCAGAGAGGGCGGGGGCTCCTCCAGGAAGCAGCAGAGTTGGGACGCCACCTGAGCCCTTGCCACTCCGCCTTCTCTGCATGTCCCGGGCTGGGCACTCAGAGGCCACAGTGTGGAGTGGTGAGGGACTCGCCAGCTTGCTCACTGGCGCACTGTGAAGACTTGGGGCTCCTCTGTCGCCATTCTCTCCTGCAGCTGTAAATGCCACCGGTAAGCTGGGGACACCCAAATCGATATCTCAGCTGAGGCCTGACCTGGACTTAGGCATTCGTGCACACACCTGACACCTCGTCCCTCAGCCCCATACCCTCCTGTGTTACGTTCCCGCTCCAACCAACTCCTGGTCCCTCCCAGCACCCTCTTCCCCTGACGTCCCATCTCATGGATCACTCCCAAACACGACTCCTGGTACACCCCAAAGCCCCCCAGTCCACTCGCCTCCTGCAGTATCCCCTTGTTCCCTGAGGCCCACTGCCTGGAGCACCATCTTTCCCAGTGTGGCCTGCAGAACTCCTCCTCATCCCTCAACTCCCAAGTCCAGTGCTCCTCCTGGAGCCCCCTCCTCACTTCAGCCAGAGGCCCCTCCTTCCTCCTCTGGTCTCCTGGAGGCCTCTGCTGGGTGTGGCAGTTGTTTAGCTACGTACTGTATCTGCAGTCTTCTTCAAGACCCTGAACTCAGGGAGTATGTGTGTGTTCCTCAACACCCGCACAGGCCCAGTGCCCAGTAGAGAGGCCCAGGAGGGAGCAGGGAGAGGGAGGAAGGACCCTGCAGGCTCTCTGTTTCCGACCAGCCCAGGCCCCTGCCCTCCCCAGGCAGGAGCAGGCAGGGACGCCTGTGTTCTCCTCTCCAGATCGGGGGTGGCTGTGAAGGGCGGCACCATCTGTGCCCTTGTTCTGCTTGGAAGCAGGCCAGGCCGCCTGCGGGAGGCAAGGCCAGCACCGACTCTGACATCACTGCTCCAAGATGGGGAGGGCGGGGAGCCCTCCGCCCCAAGGCTCTGAGGCCCCTGAGGTTGAGGAGTAGTCCCTTGGGGACCACCATCCTGTCTGAGGTTAGGGACCCCCAAACCTAGGGGTGGAGAAGCCCTCTGCATGCTTCTGGGTTTCTGCCTCATTGTGCTACTGCAGGGGTTAAGGTAGGAGGTAGAGAGATGGCCCCTGCCCAGGAAGAGGCTTGGGGGACCACCCTCTGAGAACCCCTTCCTCTCCGTTTCCCACCCTTCCTCTGCCTTGCTTTTGACTAGTGCCTCCCACCTAGCACAAGAGAGAAACCGAGGCCAAGCCCTTCCTCTTTGGGGTGTGGTGGTCTCCATGGGGGGCAGGGATAGGCTGGGCCAGGTTCTGGATGGATGAGTCCTAAGAGCTGGGAGGGCGCAGGGAGGTGAGGGTGGACCCCATCCGGGCAGACGCCCCCCGGGAGGAGTCCCCTCCACGTGGCTCCCATGGTAACGGGCAAGGCAGGAGGGCAGGAGCCTGGGTTCCAGTTCCAGCTCTGGAGCTTGGACAAGTCACTCTTCCTTCTGCCTCAGTTTCCTCTTATGTCAAAGGAGAGGTTAGGCTCCAGGAGCTCGGAAGTCCTGTCTGGCGGGGTCCACTTCGGGCCATGGGACCATCACTGCCAGAAAAGCTCTCCTGTTTCCCGAACGACATGGGGACACCTGATTGTCCTCTGTACCCCTAGACCTCTAGCTCTGACCCCACCTTTTTTTTCCCAGCTGCGCAACCTCAGACATTCCAGGCACCCACCCCAAACCCCCAGTGTCCCCAGCGTGGGGAGGGAGGGTGTCATGGGCGTGCGGGGGCCCTATGCCACTGAGCCCTGCCCCCTGCTGGGATCTGCAAGGCTGAGTGCACGCCAGTGCCACCTGGGTGGTGCTGGGGTCCCCGAAGCTTCCTGCGAAGGTCAGGGCCTCCTCCACCCCTGCTCCCCTGGGCGACCCCTCTTCTACTTTTCGGCCCATCCTCCAGGACTGAGCAGGGTGCAGTGGGGCCTCTGCTTGCTTGTCTAAGGGGGTGGCCTGTGGAAGGGAGAAGGGAGCAGGATCCGTGGGCAGGAGGAATTTTCAACTTTCTTGTGAACAAATGGGGGCTGTTGTTGGCTTTCAGCTGAGAAGGCGCGCTCCGCTGCGTTAGAGTAATGCTGTAACCGTACAGTGATGTAACAGTGATTACATATAAAATAATGCAGGTTTATATAAGGGTACACACAAACATGTGTACACACCCCAGCCCCTGACTAAGGGCCAGGCATTCAGTGCTCACAGTGCTGGGGAGCAGGACACTGAGGTTTAGCGGGGCCTGAAGCACAGCATGGCCCTAAAGGAGGCCGGGGGCTCTGCCAGGCTGAGGGCTGACCGCAGTGGCAGGGTGGGCAGGAGGCACTGGCCTGGGGAAAGAGGACATGAGCTTGGGAGCCTGTGGTCATCCGGGAGAAAGTGCTGGGCCGTGGTTGCTCGTGGTAACACCAGGGAAGGCTCAAAGGTTATCTTAGACCACTGTGACCCTGCACATGGGTGGCCCCGGCCAGTGGGCTGCAGTGCCCCTGCCCTTGCCACATTCTACGCTGGCCTGGAGGTCGGGAGGGGAGTTGGGTGGGACAGACACTCGCTCATTCATTCAACAATTACGTGTGCCAGGCCCCGTCCAGGTTCCTCAGAGCACAGGCCATCCTAACGTGGTGGAGCAGAGTAAGTGGGGGGTCCCCCAGTGGAGCCACATCCCTGGATCCTGAGCCCTGGTCTAGGCCTCTGTGGCCCGGATGGGGTAATGGGGTCTTGAAGAGGGGCTTCCTGACCTTGAACACCTCCCAGGGACACAGCAGACATGGTGGAGGCTGGATGGTGGGGTGTGGAGGGGTCAGGGATCTGCCTTGCCCTGTGGGTGAGGGGGCTGGGCTTGAGTGGCACTGTCCCATGTCCAGGCTGCCACCTGCCCTTTGGTGGCCACGGGGTGCAGTGCAGGCACGCCCGAGCAGCGCTCTTCAGGACTGAGGGGTGCTGTCTTTGTTCAGAAGCCCACGCAGACGTTTCCTGCAAACACATGCAAAAGAACAGTAATTTGCCATCTGTTTTTAAAGTCCTGGCCATTCAAGATACATGGACAGACATACGGACGGACACAGCAGACACAAGAGGAGCACCGGGGCCAGGAGTGCTGGCTGACCCCCACTGGCCCCTCCATCCCAAGGTCAGGAGGACCTGACCATCAGTCCTGGCTCTACAGGGAGCTGGGCAGAGGGGGGTCCTGGGGGTGAGGCTCTGTCCAGGCCTCTCTC